AGAATTCATCGAGGCTTTTGTCATGGCAGTCACTCACCTATTTTCTTTTGGTGTTTGATCACACGACTTTAATCTTTACTGAGGATATTTCTTTGCAATCCTTTGTTTTTTATTTTCGCATTTTTCATTCCCTAACTTTTGCCTGGATGGAGTCTTTTGAATTTGACTTTGAAGTCCAGCGGGATGTCTCAATTTTGCCTAAGTCTCCTTCATAGGTTTTGGCTTGGCGAAATTTTCTTTTTTATTCATTTTTTTGAACAAGTCATGTGACTCTAAGTTATTTTGACCTTTTTGGAAGGATTTTGACTGCCTCACTCTTTAGATAGTTGAGGGATAATCATTGGGTTTTTTTCCAGACTCCTAATATGTGAGGAATAGATACAGTGAATTCTCGAAAGTTCACTTCTCCTTTTTAGAGTCTGGACGCTCGATCAGTTTAACTGAAAACTACCCTGCCCCAGGTTAAAATCAAGGATTTTTTTGGACAAGAAAACTCCTACTTCAAGGCTCAAAGGGGTTAACGATGGATTATCTTCCTTATATCTCTAGTGTTTATGATTTGAAACAATGCCTTACATCATCAGTCGGGTTTTACTCAAAAGCATACGGTAAGAGATCTTGCGTTTTTGATTCGTCATCCTCCTCCCAATTCTCTATCAAAGCAAGAGATTGGGTACGGTTGGCATTATAAATTATGAAAAAATAATTTTATGAGTGAATACGAATGGATTTCTTCAAGAAAAACATGTTTAATGCATTATCGTTCAAGAAAAAACAAGTTCCTACATGCCAATTATGCTTTTATAATCAAAGAAATAAAATACATATAAGCAAACAACATGAATAGCGAAACAAGCCCTTCTGAAGGATTTTATTAAGTCTTTGTATTCATCAATACAACGGTGTTCCATTTAAGACCAGGCTTTCTCCTTTGAAGGTCAACAATTTGTCGTCCATCATCTCTTGAACTTTTTCTTGGAATACCTTGCACTCTTCAATCGAATGCCCCATTACTCTGTCATGAAATTCACAGCTGGTGTTTGAGTCGATCATCTCGGTATGAACATTCTTAGGATTTGGTGTACATCGTGGGAACTAGGATCTCTTTCATCGACTTGATCAACCAGGTCATCTTGCATAGGTCGAGATTGTATAGGATCATCCACTTGTTGAACAATGTCATCAGAGGGAAGATCAAACATAGGATTAGTTCTCACTCTGAAACCAGTCATGGGATCCATATCTTTCGTTCTCTTTAATATCCTTCAGTGATTGCTTCGAGCTTGGTCAGATGGTCAAGATGTCAACTGACAGACAAAGACAGAAAGCCGGATAAGACACAACAGAGATACATGCATATGAAAATGCTAAATGAGGGATGCAAAATGCAAAATGCAGGATGCAGATGAAAGGTTTCATGGAACTCAAGCATTTACAAACATCACAGGGTACCAAAGAAAATTCATTTATTATTTTTGATATTGGATTACAGATAATATTCTTAAAAGAGCCCTGACATAGTAGCTAAATAAAAGCTAATAAAGTCCTAAGGAAGTCTTGTATTGCTTCTTGATCTGCTCCTTCAGCTGGACTAAGTTTGTCTGCGATCAATTTCCGAGGAATAGTTTGATAGAGGAAAATAAATCCTCCATCTCTTTCTTTTCTTGCTGGAAAGTAAGGAAGGAATACCTTGTCCGTCTGGATCTTTAAGAATAAAATTTTCTTGTATTTGTCTTTGAGTTTCTCTTGATCTTCAAACAGAGCTTCTGACTTCCTTAGGACATCTAAATTAGGACTCTTAAAAGAATATTTCAAAGTGTTTTTCTTTTGTAATCCATATTGGTCTCTGTAATGTTTATAAATAAAGTCGAATTCCATGAAACCTATGCAATATGATGCTCTATGGATGCAAAGATGCACAAACACAGGCAAGCACACAGATGCACAAAGATGAACAAACAGGAAACTTAGGTTTGCAATGAGCATGGAGCAAAGGGTATACCCATTCCCAAAGGGTGTGGACTAAAAGTCGATTGTACTTGTAGAATACGGTTATAAGAGGGTGCCCAAAATTATTAGTCCATCTTTCGGATATTATAAATTTCCCGACTAACTCGGTGGTTAATAATATTCTCAAGAGAACCTCTTTTGAGTGTAGCATCGCGTATCAACTATTTCGGGACTACTCCCTCATAGTCATCGCACTATGTCCTAATAAAGGCCAGAGTGGGGTTAAAGGTAACTATGGTCCTCAGTATCACAGACTCCAATCGAAAATAGTGAATGTTTTCATGAATACTCGTTCAACAGTACTGTTTTCAAGAGGGCCTCAACTGAGCGGTGATTCTCAAGTCAGCTTGGTCGGGAATCACTCCCTATAAGCCTCGTCGAATACATCATCTTCCTATAATAATTGCACTCAAGTTCGGGTGTAGGACTTATCTCACAACAATGATACCCCAAGCAAGGTACAACAAATATATACAAGCGGATAATATAGCAAACTGCAAGCATAAAAACAAGATAGGGGTAACCCTAAAAAAGATTTTCAAATCCCTAGTGAAGTCGCCATTTTTGTCGCGGTGAGAATCAGATGTCAAATTATTAATTAATTTGAATCTTAATTCATATGTTCACCACCGATCTTTTATTTGTCCAAAGGAAGGGAAAAAGATTGAATTACCCATAATGCAATGCAAATGCAAAAGCTAGAGAGTTTAGGTTCGGGGGTTGGTTAAACTTAGGGAAGGTGCTAGCATCCTAAGTTTCTGTAGTACTCTATAGGAACCTCTTGTTTTAATGTGTTTATTTCTAAGGGTTATTTGCTTAAGGGAAAAGACCTAGTGGTTTAATTCTAAGTATACTCGCCAAGACGTTGCATCTTGTGCCTACATATCCTGACGGGAATGAAATCAGAGTATTTTTAGTTCCCCTAAAGGAAAGGGTTTGAGGAATTCTTTGACTGTTGGTCAAAGTTCCAAAGGGAAAGGGTTTGTTGATTTTTTTTAGGAGAAAATTTTGATTGTTCATCTAAGTTGTAAAATATAAAAGACAAAGGTCCTCCTTATGGGGTAGGATCTAACCTTAGGCTGATCAACTTGAAAAGGATCAAGGATCAAGCGGGGAAAATGATGCAAGATGAGATGCAATACGCACAAGTGTTAAGTTATGCGTAGGTTCTTCCTTTGGACGTCATGCAATGCGATGAAAATAAATAAAGAGCAAAAGATAATTAGATCCATACAAACGGATAAAAGCGCTAAAATCAGACAAGCAGATGGAGCGGTTAGCGAATGTTAAAAATAGAAATCGGTGTTTAGGTGGATGAAAACGTGCACGTACTGATTAATTTTAGGCGAATTGATTTTAATGAGAATTTATATTAGTTGAATTAGCCTTTTTTAGTAAAATTAAATTAGATTATAAATGAATTGGTTTTTTTTGAAAGAAACAATAATTTTAAAATAATGATTATTAAACAAATGTTGGTTATTACTTATTGAAAAAAAGTTTTTTTTATTATTTGTTTTAATAAATAAAAGTGATAGAAAAAAGGATAAGTAAAAAAAGGTTTAATTTGAATAAAAAAGTTTTTAGTAAAATTAAATTAGATTATAAATGAATTGGTTTTTTGAAAGAAACAATAATTTTAAAATAATGATTATTAAACAAATGTTGGTTATTACTTATTGATTTTTTTTTTATTATTTGTTTTATTAAATAAAAGTGATAGAAAAACAGATAAGTAAAAAAATGTTTAATTTGAATAAAAAAGTTTTTAGTTGATTTAATAAAAAAAGTTGATTAAAATATAATTAAAACTATCAGGCTAATTAATGATTAATGTTAATGATTAAGTGGGTTAATGGGTTAGTTAAATGTTGATTAATGGATAATAAAGATATTAGTGGGGGCACATGGTTGTGTGTAGTGCAGGTGCGTGGGTGCACCATGGAGTCTAGGTTGTGGACCGTGTGATTAATCTGATGAAAGGTGAATGGTTGTGAACACAAGGATGCATGGGAGTGTGTGTGGGTTGTGTGTACACATGATTACAACGATACAAAAACAAGAATCAGAAACCCTAGAATCCCCAATTATTGCCCCCCTTGTCCGCTGTTCTTCTCTTGTCTCTCTCCCTCTCCAATTTCTTCCCCATTTTTCTCTTTCTTCTTCCAATCTCCACTATATTCTTTCTTCTTCCCTTCTTGCGACTTGCCTCTTCTTCTTCAACTTGGCTATTCTTCTTCGACTTCTCCGTCCGTTTCTCTTCTCTATCCTCGCGATCCATTCTTCTTTCTTTTCAATTCCTTCAACAAAAAAAAACAAAAACAAGTTAGGGAAATATAATGTTAGTAAAACGAACTTATGGTTACATGGTTTTGTAGGTCCTGATGGAGGATTGGGATGGAGGTCGAGGGTTTTGATGGCGATGACGGTGGTGAATGGTGTCTGTGAAAATGGCGAGGGGGTTTGAAAGATTCGATGGTCAAGAGAAATGGTGGTTCGTGGTGGAGGATGTGGAAGAGATTCCGACGATGGAGAATTTTGAAGGTGTGGATGCGAATGGGTTTTTCGGCGATGAAACTCCAAAAAAAAAGAAGATAAGTTTCTTGTTTTTACAATTTTTAGGTTTTATGATTTGAGATTTTTTCTGTGGTTTTTCTTTTATGAACTCCCCCTTCTCTGTCTCACTTTGAAACCCTTTTATAGCCTCTTGGAATTTAAGAAAATTTGATTTCGAAATTAATGCGGTGATTTCTATCGAAAACGGTATTAGAAATAACAAGATATGATGGATTTACTGCTGATATCTCCAATTCTGTGTGAGCATATCTCAATATGTCTTTGCTTTTTTTCCTTTTTGATTTAACTCAATATGGTAGATAATATCGGGGGATTTAAACCTGCCGTAATTGTGTCGACTTGCTGTTTTGTGACTTAGAAATATCTTGAATGTTTTTTTTTGAAATTACACGGTATGCTCACATCTCTTTGATTTACATTGCAGCTTGTGCTTCAAACCAAATTGGAAAGGAAGGATTGGCTATAAACACCATTGTAAGACCATATCTTCTTGTTACAATATTGTTCAATGTATGAATCACAAGCCCTGCATTTTTTTCGCGACAACCAACAAGAAGTCCAACTCTAACTATTTCTCCCACACTGAATTTGGTGACATTTGAACCCACCTCTAGTACCTCATCAACCACCTCATGCCCTGGAACCATGGGATAATTGGACATGCCAAGATCATCTTTGATTTGGTGAAGATTAGAATGGCAAACTCCACAATGATAAATTTGAATGTAAACATCATCTGGTCCTGTGTTTCTAAGAGTGTAAGTATAGGGAGTTAGAATTCCGGAAGGATAAGTTGCAACCAATCCAACTGATGTTATTTTAGCAACTCCAAGGCTACCCATTTTTGAGAAGAAAAATATGAAAAAGTGAGAAAGAGAGAGGAAATAGTACAAAGTGTATGTAATGTGGATTTGATGGATGATGCCTTGTACCATTGCAAATACTTATGTGTATTGTTGTATTAATTTGATCACAACAATTTGATATGCTTTGAATTTTATGGTATTTCTCCTATTAAGCATCTTACAAATTATGACTTTATAATTATCCATGTACATTTAGTCTTTTTTATATCCCTACTAACAGAACATGGATGGAACCAAAACGGTGGACTAGGAAACAGAATGCCCACTTGTTGAATCTCTTCAAATTGTAAAAACTGACAATAGTACTTAACAATTAGCCATGAAAATTGGTGTAAAGGAGTACTAGAACGATCCTTATGCAACCATAAGTAATTGGCAAAAGATCTGAGATAATGCCAAGTTGTAAACCGCGGGGTCCTAAAGCAGAAAAGCTGGAAAAGGTGTCCTCAATATAAACTCTTCAATATCTTAATCACTAATAGCAAGAAAATACTCATTTTGTATGATGAAATTCTTGACGTGAACCCATCTTACTCATAATAAAATGAACTCTTTGTAAATGAAACTCGTGAAGTCATGGCAACTTAGGCGAATTTCCAACATAGCCGGAAGCTCGAGCACTTAGATTTTATGAAGATCAAGATTCATGAATTCCTTAAAAGTGTTCCTTGCCAAGACATCAGTTCAAGATCTCAATCTTAACATCTCAAAACAAATTGGCCATAAACCACCATTAAGAATGTCCCCATTTTCTCTTCAAGAAATTAGATGATGTTTTAGCCTCATGAATAAGAAAAAGATTCAGATAACGACCAAACTTGGTGCGCGAACCAATGCTCTGAGAGAGAACCTTTGAAAATAATGACACAACCTGCGATATAGCCACCCATGAGAGTCATAATAGGCCTCAAATGCTTGCGCCTTGAAGTACTGGGCTATAAAAGGTCCACACTTGTTCACTACCGCACCTGCACCAACTGGTTAACTATAATAAACACACACAAAAGCATAAAGATAAAATGCAAGAAAAATGCACAAGAAGGTGGAATTTTAAGGTCAAAAATTAGGGTGTGATAGTTACCACTGAGCAGAAACCAGAAAATCAGTTTTTAAAATCAGTTTTCAGCATCAAACAACTTATCCAATCATCCATATGAATATGATATCAATAAAGCACGAAATTATCATCAAGAAATAATGATCAAGCATCATGTAAACACAATGATGCATTAAAATCACAAATCACCAAAATCAAAATCAACAAAATGGATCAAAAAGCATCGAAAGTCATAGATCTACATTGTGATTATTCAAATAAGCTCAAAATTGAAATAGATCTAGAATTACCAACCTTCAAGGCTGAGATTGGCCTTGGTAATTGTTGATTCACTTGAAACTAACAGATCCAAGCTAGAAACCCAGAGATTCTTCAAGATCCAAGAGTTTCCTTGTGGTAGAAATGAAGAACAAGCAAGATCAAGCAAAATAATCCAGAAAAATCACTTCCAATCTAGCTTCCAAATTCAGATCCAAAACCAAACGAAAATTAAATGGTGAATGGAAGATAATGGAGATGACTGATGGAGGTTTAGCTCTAGAATTCTATGATTCTAATGAAGAATCAAAGAACTTAAGTGAAAGAGCTTTAATGGAGGTTTTGGGAGTGAAAAGTGGAGAGAAAATTGAGAACAAATTCTCAAGAGTGAGAGTGAAATCTGAAAAATGAAGGTTCATTGTGTGAGGTTTGGAGTGTGGATTAGCATTTGGAATGGGAATTAGGATTGGAATTAGGAATGAAGTGTTTGAAATTTGGAGGGAAATGGTGAAAATTGAAACAATTCTAGATCCTTCCAATGATGATCAAGTGAAATCAATGGTTGAGAATGATTGGAAATTACACATGCTGAAAATTCAAATTCTTTGGCCAATTTCGTTTGAAGTAACTGGTTACCCTATATGCAGTAATCGGTTACCACATCCAAAAAATGCCAACTTTGGCGCCAAATGGAGGGAAACTTGAGTAATCATTTGTTGCCACCTGTTTTAAGCTCTGTTAAGCCTCTGAAAACTTGCCCTTGGATATTATGACTGTGAGAATGCCTGAGATAGCCTGTACACCATTTCCTGAGCTGAAAATAACCTGCTAAATAAAATAAAATCGGTCGCTCGATCGTTGGGCAAAATAAATGTCGGAGCCTTTGATGCTCGCTGTTTAAACCCTTGCAACGAAAATGAACTCTGAGCTACAGAAATACCTTGATCCTATGTCTCGAGAACCAATGTTATGATGTGCAGAAATGCAAAATGCAGAGAATCAAAAGCCAGTTACGGTTAAAACGGAAGGGCAAATTTTGGGGTGCTACAGTTGCCCCTATTCAAACGACTTGGACCTGAAGGGATGAAAAGCATCAACTTTTGAACAGTCAAGGTAAAAGGTTATTGAATACCAAAAGAACCCGAAAATTTTCAACCTGCAGGGGAAGAAGAAAAGGCCAATTAGACATCATTCTAGAAATAGACTTTATAACGATAAGTCAGGCGAGGACTGACTATTAGTCGAGAACTGATTTTGATGAAAAGGCTTGCCAGACGAGAACTGGACTTTGCAAAGATGAGCCAAACGAGGCCTGGATTTGAATTAGACAGGTTAGACGGAAACTGACAACCAGACGAGAATTGGGTTCCAAAAAAGAGTCTTCCAGATGAGAACTGAATTTGAATTAGACAGGTCAGACGGGAACTGACAACCAGACGAGAATTGGGTTCTGAAAACAAGTCAGACGGGAACTGACTACCAAACGAGAACTAGTTTCTACAAAGATGGGTTAGACGAGAACTAACTATCAAACGAGAACTAGGTTCTGAAAAAACGGGTCAGACGAGAACTGACTACCAGACGAGAACTGGGTTCTAAAAAACAGGTCAGACGAAAACTGACTACCAGATGAGAACTGGGTCTACCAAATGGTTGGTCAAGGACCAAAAAGTGGTTGGTCAGGAACCAGATGTTGTAAAGAGTTCATTTTAAAGGCGGGCATACAACAAAAAGACGATCGCGATCCAGGAAGTGACTTGTACAAAAATGAACACACCAAAAATCCTAAATTAAACCACTATTTATAGCCAGTCGACATAACTTCTCTTAATGACTCAATGAACTAGATCAAACCAAATGTCATTATGCATGCTTTAATTACTTGAAACCATGCCATGCGCCTCCTTCTATTGGGTGGAAAATAATTATATTCCCCCTCCAGGATTCGAATTCAAACTTCAAAAGGTTCTTTCCTGACGAATTGCCCATCTTCTGGTTGAAATTTCCGCAGTAACCCTATAATCGAAAATACTGTCGTTAACTTAACAACCTGACGTTTCCACCCGGGCTTCGAAATTCAAGGCTAACAAATTACCCCCCAAAAAATGTCACTTTCGACCTCTAGAGAAAATGGCATTTTTGATACTCCGCTCCGACGCCTCTCATGACTTTTGCATGTCTTTTGAAGTTACATCCTTATTGTTCCCAATACTTAATGACATCATTAACATTTATCACAACAACTTCAGCATGTCTCCTTCACGCATTCCACTAGTCGTGATCATGCTCCTAGGTTTTAGGAAATCATGGCCTAAGAAAAGGTGAGCTTTAGACTCAACTGTTCATATTTCCTCAATTCCTTTCTCTGTACAACACATGTCCCACTACAGCCATGTTAAATGCCCACTAGTCTTTTCCCATTTCCACATTTTTACTTTCTCCTATAAGTGGCATCATCTACCCATAATCATTTTTACGCTTTCCAATCTTTTCCTTTGTTATTCTCTTGCAAAAGAAAATCCAGACTTTCCTTTCCTTCCTACAACCTTGAACTTGACAATGTCTTCTTCCACCATGACCAAGGATCACAAAAAAACTTAGAAGAAGGACTTGAAGAAAACTTCTCAGCTTCCCTCTTTCGAAGTGCTGGCTCGGCAAAAGATGATGGGAAGCCAACAGTTTTCACCTAAGCCATTGAAGGAGGAAAAACACAGGATCTATTCTTCTCAGGTATTGATTCCTTTCACCATTGCTGGAAAAAGGCATGCCCTCTGTGGGCCTTTGCCTTCTGTAGATTCTGAAACCATTATAGATTTCTTTCCGTCTTACCGTAGGTCAAAACCCATAGGCCAAGCTAACAAACAACAAGTAGAAAACATCACTAGGGACGTTGTAGCCCTTAGTGGGATATATTTAAGGTATATGGGTACCAACTTTGTTTTCCGCGCTACACCGTCTTTCAAGGAGTCCAATGAATACATGAACTGGCTGAGCAAGGTGGAAAAGGTTAAGTCCCACCTTTGGAAACAAATGGGGATCTATGACCTTATCATGTTGTCGGAAACTGGTCTGAACTACTGTTCAACCATGTTAGTGTCCTTCCTTTATTTTTGGGATAACACCCGTAACACTTTCCATCTCCCTTATGGGATGATGAGTCCAACATTGTTCGATATAGCCGCTATCACAGGGCTAAAACCAACCGGCACCACATACGACCCTGACCTTGAGTCAGATGAATCAGTAGGATTTTCATTAGTTAAACCCACATACTCCAAATTCATTTCCCATTTCTTCTACAAATCTACCAATGAAGTTTCTGATGTTGAACACATAGCTTTCCTTACAGTTTGACTGTCTCACTGTATTTTCTGTTCCAAATCCCTTCAAGTAGCTAGGAAATGTCTGACCCTAGCCACTCAACTTCATCGAGGGCATGATATTTGCTTAAGTGAAATGATATTAGGAAACCTATACGAGTTCTTGAGTGAAGGGGTGATCCAGGTGAAAGATCTAGGTGCGAAAGGTAACTTGCTGCTGTCAGACCCTTTTTAGTTACTTCAACTATGGATGAATGCTTCCTTTGAAGCTAGTCTTCCCAACAAGGGCACTGTGGATGATGAAGAAGAAGAATTCAAGAACCCTATAGTCGAAAGAACTC